CCTAAACCCTAAACCCTAGTTTAGATAACTACCAAAGAAAAGGAATCCGAAGCTCGAAAGGTTAGACCCTTGGGCCTTGGGAACTCTTCGGGTCCCGAAGCTTGGAGCCAGGAAAACGTCAAAATAATTACCAAGAGGACTTTGGAGGTTCCTTATGGGAGTTAGAGTTATAGTATAATCCACCCCAAAACCCTATTCTGATGATTCAGGCCCCTACATTACACTTGCAGCATTTAGTCCTTCAGAAGATTCCCCTGGGCAGTGTCACGAGCTTGGTTCCTTTTCGATGTAGGCTTGGTGGCTTTCCGGGTTTTGGGTTTGGGGTTTAGGGTTTAGGGTTTGATGAGAAGAAGCAGAGCAAAAGGCTGGCTTGAAGCGTTGCTCATTCCAACACTTCCTACTCCTGCGGCTACTGCTGCTACCACTACCCATAGCAGAACCAGTAGTAGTAATGGTAGTAGTAGCTCTCGGAGTCGTAGTCGTAGTAGCAGCAGCGGCCGTCGTGGTGGTGGTGGTGGTGTAGTAGGAGAACACTTCGAGGTTTGCAGCTGATTGAGCAGCCAAGCAGCCACGCCTCTTGGACGGATAGTGACAAGTCTGCTGATGAAAGGGGTAGGAACAGTAGCAGGAACCCATGACATAGAAGAGTAAAATCGCGACTAATAACAATATTGGCACGTAAACTTTTGAAGTGAGAGTAATGTCAGGAGCGGCAACAGTACCCAAACCGAAACAGTACGTCCATCAATCCTTCAAACCAGCGACGAAAGCATTTGACTTAACGATGTTCCTGCAGCCAGTTAAGCAAACATAAGTACATGTACATGAACAAATAGTATGTATACATATATATATATATATGCACTGTATATAACTGTATATAAAAAGATACATGTCATAAATGCTTGGTACGCAGAACGCAAATGTATATACAGAGTTGCAGAGGTGTGTGAGTGTATACGCACGTATGTATGTATGCATGTACGTACGTACGTACGTACGTATGTATGTATGTATGTATGTATGTATGTATGTATGTATGTATATATGTATAGTACACATTCACAAACGCACACACTCACACACTCACGCATGTATATCTTTTGCGTTCATATACAAGTACATACACATGTACATAATTACATATACATATAGACACACACGCATATATACATTTAGACATTTATGCATACATACACATATACATATTGTACATATGTACATATGCACATCTAGACATATAAATGCATGTATTTATGTATACACGCACACTTATCGATGCATATTCGCACATATATATATATATACACATAAAAAAGATGAGTATACAATATGCATATATATATATATACATATATATATACGTTTGTATATACCTATACATATGTATGCATATATATAAATACTGATATGTAGATGTGTATATGTATACACATGTGTATGCATATACACAATCTTACACAGGAAGATGTTTCACAAAAATAAGAGCTAGGAGCCCGGTGCGCGATTCTGATGCGTCGCGGTGCATCTTCCGAGGATCCCACATCCTTTCTGCTGGTCCCCAGCAGCATCCGAGAGGTGCAGCGCACATTGCTGTCGTAATGTCATAACTGAAGGCCGCAAGAACACTGGCAGTAGCACTAAGAATCACAAGTGGTAGCAACAAATAACACGGCCGATGGTCGATGCAGGCATGATCGTGAACAGCAAGGCAGCCATATGAGCACAGACGCGCGCTTGCAATGTGAAGTATGCGAGGCGGTTAAGCCCCAAACCCTAAACCCCAAACCCTAAACCCTAAACCTCTAAACCCTTTAAACCCTAAACCCTAAACCCTAAGACCCTAAACCCTAAATGCTTCTGTATCGTCCCGGCAGGCAGGAGAGAATCTGGCGAGCTGGCTTGGCAGTCATTTTCCTGGCCACGGGGTGGCGCCTTGGCTTCGGAAGCAGGGTTTAGGGTTTAGGGTCTGGGGGTTTGGGTTTAGGGTTTAGGGTTTAGGGTCTAGGGTCTAGGGCTTTGGGTTTAGGGTTTAGGGTTAAGGGTTTAGGGTTAAAGGGTTCAGGGTCTAGGGTTTAGGGTTAAGGGTTTAGGGTCTTGGGTTTAGGGAATTTCCTACCGTGGATGTGTGCGTGGACGGACCCTAGGAAGATATTCTAGATGTTGGCGTGCCGCCTGTCGTCCACCTTGTGCTTCTGATGCCCCAGCTCATCCGGCCTCTTCTTGTGTTCGGTATAACCTTGGTCAATGCACGCACAGATACAGCCAACGAGAAGCCGAAGTACATGTATGTATGTATGTATGTA